TGAGAGGAGGGAGTCACTGGGGCCCATTTGGTCTGGGACATAACTGTGGGGCTTGAGGGCAAAAATAAGCATGTGGCTCAGAAGTTGAGAATTAACCCATTTTGCTGGCTGCTGTCTCACCCCATCATGCCCTCTGGGGATGACAACCTCTAGCACACTAGCTACTCAGATGGGGGTGGGTGAGAGGCCCCTACCAAGTCAAATACTACCATGCCCCTCTCCAAGATGCTATGGGTGCATACCCAACCACAACACTGCCTACTTCTGTTCCCAGCTCTTCTACGGGGAGCAAAATATAGAATGGGGTCTCCCTGCCTACTGGCTAACTGGTAGCCACCTGGGCAAAGGATGGCAACAGTCAAGGAGGGCAGGAGGAGGGCAGGTAAGGTCTGGAACACCAGACACTGGGGGTGTGGTCACAGGACCACAGTGAGCTGACTCTATTGTCCCATCAGACTTCCATTACAAAAGACACATTCAAAGAGAAATTTAAAAATGCAAGAAAGCAATGGTAGTGCGTTAAAACCCTAAGCAAGGTCTTTTGAGCATGAGTCTTGGGAGACTGCCTGGGTGGTCTGCCCATGAATCCTTCCCTGCCTGGATGTATGCATAGGAGCTTAGTTTTCCATATAGGTTTTAACAGACATGTTGGTCACATGTTGAGTGTGTATGCTTTGTTCCATGTCCTGCGAAAACTAAGCTAAACAAGATCCTAAGATAGTTGGTGTTCAACAATTTTTTTCTTCTTGTTTCTCCCAAAGAACGTAGAATGGTGCTATTGACACAAATGCACCAGCAAACACCACATAAATCACAGGAGTCACAGCCTGAGATGCCGAGAGATCAAATATTTCTGGCGCACATACAGGGAGTTGAATGAATGACAGTTTTAATCATAGCCAACACAGACTTCATTCTGGAGCCCCAGGCAGAAAGGGGAGAAGGGATCATCTCAAGTTCGAAATGTGAGAGAGGGGAGGAGAAGGGAGGTTTCTGAGAAAGATATTTACTGGCTCAGCTCACATCATTGATGCATACGCATCATAAAGCAATTTCCACTCTTAAGGGAGAATTAGGTAATGATGCGCCCTTGGAAACTATAAGAAAAATGAAGACATGCCTTAAATGTTGTGGGTAAAGGCTGGAAACCACAACCTCTCAGCTCCCTCCTATTGAGATTTCTTAATAACAAAATCCCTTCCTGACGCTGTGTGTAATTGCCCGGAGAGGGGGCAGATGAAGCCTTCCATCCTGATGCCTATTTCGTTGGCTCACTGGCTCTCCACTGCCTGAAAGCTTCGTGCCAAATGGCTGCTGGGAGAAGTCATGCAGCCAGCGGGTGGATGGAAATAGCCCTGCCCGCTGGGAGAAAGAGGATCTTGGAGCGCTCTCTTCTCACCCTCACGCAAATACCAGTGAAGCATTTTTGCACCTCTGCCAGTTGCTATAGAGACATGTGGGGAACACATGTAAATATTCGGCATGTGTGAGACAGGCAAAGGTCCTCCAGTGCAATGTGGTTGGTTCCTCTTCTTGACTTTGCTCGCTCTGGCCCAGAGCTGCAGTTCACAGCCACATCAGTAAGCATTGTGGTTTCAGGCCTCAAACTTGGGAGGCTCATTTTTAAGAAACTCTTCTACCAGGAAGGACTGGGAAACAGCCCATCTATAGGGACAGGAGACCCGGGTTTGAAACGCTTTCCTATTATGTTTGTGGTACCAGTGACTGACTCTGCCTCCACCTTCTCCTCTGTAAAATGGGAGACATAGACCCTGATCATGTGGGGAGAATGAGAATGGACAAGCTCTGTAAAGATGAAAGCACTAGCTACGTTGAGCAGCATTGTTATGTAGTTACTGTACACTGTGTAGACACTGGAATGTAGGACCAGGGTTCCTCGCCAGAGTTAGAGATTAGGGGCATTGTTCCTCCTAAAGATTTGGTGTGGATGTCTCTGGACTAGTGGTTAGCAAACTCATTAGTCAACAGAGCCAAATATCAACAGTACAACGATTGAAATTTCTTTTGAGAGCCAAATTTTTTCAACTTAAACTTCTTCTAATGCTACTTCTTCAAAATAGACTCCCCTAGGCTGTGGTGTTTTGTGGAAGAGCCACACTCAAGCGAACAAAGAGCTGCATGTGGCTCACGAGCCGCAGTTTGCCAACCATGGCTCATTTTGTTCTGCTGAAGGCTGGGCTCAGAGGAGGAATCCCTGCCATGGGGGCCTTGTTCGTGGCCCATCTTCTTCCACTCTACTGGGGTCTCTGTGGTGATCCAGGGCACCGTCTCCCAACCTGACATCCATGTGGAAACAGAACGGCTCAGCTGCCAATCTCTTTTGCCCTTGAAAAACCCAGGTGATTTCTTGTTATACAAATACACTCCCAAGACTTAAAGAAGCTGGCAGAGCCAACAGGAAGAACCTCCTCCTTAAAAAGGCACAGAGGACCAGAGAGTACCTGTGAGCAAACCCTGGAGTGCCTCTTGAACTTCAGGTTTATGTGTGGGTTTTTTAGGGGGAGGGTGCAGGAAGAGGGGTGGAGCCAAGGGTTAGGGTGTTGTCCTGATGACTGACTGACTGCCACCACCCATGCGGAGCCTCTCATCAGACTGTTCCTCTCTATCTCCTTGGTAACCGGACACACTGCTATAGTGACAAGAGGAAATTGCAAACAGAATCAGTCAGCATTGAGGAGCTGAACCGCCCTCCCCTTTACCAGGTCTCCATTCCGGAGTTCTGGATTTGTGTTTGTGATGTATCCTTCAGTCAAACACACCAACCCCTCCAAATTCTGGCCCTTGGAAGAAGCAGCCTCGCCCACGTTTCCGATGCTACACACCCAGTCAATGAGCGGATGCTGGAAGCCAAAACCTGTGGTCTCCAGCCATCCCAGGCCAAACCCCACCTCTGAAGAGCAGAACTCAGCAGGCAGGAATGTGAGGACAGTGTGAGTAGCAAGGGCGGAGGGAAGATAAATGGGGAGCTGAGAGAAAGACAGAGAGAGACCCGCCTGGTCAAGAGTTCTCCAACTTCTCTTCCCTTGATATTCCACACCCCAAGTCTCCCAAATAAAACACACTTACATCAGAATTCCCATGAAATTGGAAAGGGGAGACTAAGAGGATCTTGTGGTATTTTGTATGTTTGTGTTTGCTTTGCCAGGAAAGGATGCAGAATTAAAGGGAGGCGTGAGAGAGAGAGAAGCTGGGATGCTGACAATAACGTAGAAGCGACAAAGGAGTCATTATTCATTGAGTAAATACTGCGTGAGAATTCACTGCCTACCAGGCCTTGTTTTAGATGTTGGGGAAACTGGAATAAACAAAGTAGAAATTTCTGACCTCATGGAGCTGGAAGTCAAGTGAGAGGCAGAAAATAAAGATGACAAGTTTATTTTAAAAATGACAAGATTATAACAAACTATTATGAGTAAGTAAAATATATTGCACTCGAGCACACACACACACACACACACACACACACATATACACACACACAGCAGATAGGGTAGGGAGTGTGGAAGAGATCTGCAATCTAGGATAGCATAACCAGGGAAGTCCTCACTATGAAAGTGGCATCTGAGTCCAGTCCTGGCCAGTGAGATTGTGAGCTGTGTTGGTACCTAGGGAAGGAACATTCTGAGACCAATCAGGAAGCCAGTGTGGCTGATCCAGTGAGGGGTGAGTTTAGGGGGCGGGGGGGGAAGAGAAGAGGGAAATAGGGAGTGTGAGGTCAGGTGGGGCCTTGAGGGCCACTTAGAGTGGTTAGGCTTTTCCTGAGTTAACAAGGAGACATTGGAAGGTCTTAAGCAGAGAAGTGGCCTGATTTGACTTCTGTCTAAAGGATCATTCTGGCTACTTCATGGAGAATAGATTTGGGGTGTGTTTGTGTGTGGGGGGGGGAGCTGCTGATACCCAGAGTCTTTGTTAAAAAGGGGAATTGGAAAGTGTTAGGTTTGAGACAAGAACACCACCCAAACCTTCTGTTACATTTTAGGAAGGGTTGAGAAAAACTGGAAATGGGATAGTGTGGGTGTGATTCAGTGTTAATTAACGGTGTTCCCACACAACCTGAAATCATCTTAGCTGTCACCAGTGGTTTATCTCCCACCTCTTGGAAAATGTGGTCTAGCGAGAAGCCAAATATTCACCACACATAGATGCTATAATTTATCCAGACCATGGAGGCTCTTGGCAGGCAGCTTCTAGTCAGACATGACTTAAGAGACACCAAGCCTGACCCTCCTTCCCTTCATAAGTTGGACAAAAATAAAAATTAAAATTAAAATTAAAATATTTTATGTAAGTGTAGTGGGGCCACTCAGTGATTCACACACCCTCAAACATGCAAAGATATACAGCTTCTTTGTTTCCAGTCAAATCTTCTTGGAATCCCCCACCCCATCGAGTATGGAGGAGATTTCACCTGCACCGTCAGTCAGTCAGTCTCCTGACATCAGCACCTGGATCTCTGGTTAGTGGTAGTGTCATTATCATGTAGCTATGAGCGTGGGAATCAGCTTGGTGACCTCTGTTATCCTTGGGCTTCCCTGCTGTGTGTCTAGGTCCTGTGCTAGTGTCCTTTGAGGTGCTCCTTATCTAGTTTTTCCTCTGGCATGCAATGGCATCCATAGCCACAGACATTGACACCACCATTGTCTGTGGAAAACAAACTCCTTGATCTCACTGGCCTTCACTTCCCAACATCAGGCCTCTGTGCTTCCACTGATTCCCTCTTGAACCCTCTGACCTTCACATGGGAGTGTAGTGGTAGGCCACATCGCTAACTACCAAGATCCCTCATTTGCTAATGCTGCACTGTCCTACTCAAGCCCTGTTAGACATGATGCCAAGGTGAAAGTGGGGTTCGGGTTGTTGTCAGCCTCCTCTAGGCTATGTGTGGGAAAGGAGGCCATTTGTCCCAATACTCCTTAGTCTCCCCCAAACCTTTCTGATTGCTTCTATAGTTCCGTCCCCAACAAGGCTTGGCCCCAAGAAAGAGGAGAGGTATGATCTTGATGTGTGAAGTTCTTACCCTGTCTCAACCCGTCTTCTCCTCCCTGTACTCTCCTGAACAGGAAGAATGGTGCTCCTCCCCCCCTTCTTTGCTGGTATGACTGTATCCCTGAAAATATTTTTGTTTCCTACTTTTTAGTCCTTCCCACTTCACTGAGGCCATGATGGTTGTGCCAAGTGTGCCATCAGAGAAGCAGACGCCGAGGCAGAACTAAGAATGCAAAAGGTTTATTAGGGAGCAACATTGGTGAAGACAAAAGAGGAAGAAAGCAGAATTGGACAGGGGCTCAGACCACAACGCATATCAGAGGAAGTTTTGGTCAGCCCGATGGGGAATTCCAGAACAAAGATTGCTCATTAGAGGAGTTAGTGTTGAAGAGAAATGTCCAGGCCTCCCAGCTGCTCTGTGCTCAGCCATTGGCTGGGGGCTGCCCCAGGAAGGAGGAGGCAGGTTCTAAGGCGCTAACAGCCATAGGCTGCAGGCTGACTGCACTTCTTACAGTTCAACAGCAGGCCTTTCTGGGAGGGAGACCCAGGGCACCTCCAACACTGCCACAATGATGAGAAGGTTGCTAAAGAAGAAATGGATAGGGGACATCAATCATATCTGTTTAATAGATTCTACATAAGTTATGTATTAGCCAAGCCCTTAAAGTCATCATAATATTAGCATAACATTAGCCCACATCTTCTTCTCTGCAAGTGAGGTCTATGCACTGAGACCACAACACAGAGCAAGACACACCAGATTTGATTTGTCCTGACCCTTTCTTGCAGGGCTGGCATAATGCTTTAAAACCATGAGCATGACCGTCATAGAGCTTTATGCTTTTTTATGTGAGGCCTTCTGTAAATCTCCAAATTGTCCACTTTAATTCAGTGTTTGCAACCAGCAAGCGCCCAACAGTTCATCTAAACCCAAGACTTTTACCAAGACAGCCTCTGCGTGCTGCCGGAGAAATTTCAGTGGTTTGATAACAAACGAATGGTGGTAGATGGCCAGAAATCTCGAGTCAAGAAACTTCCTGTGAGTCAGAAGCCAATCATCCAACTGTCTGTTCACCAGGTTTCCTTCCTGTGAGTCACTTTAAGAAGCTTGACTTCTTCATTCTCAGTTTTCAGCTCTTTTCTGGTTTAATCAATGGCAGCTGAAGCCATCTTATAATTCTTGGAAGTGTTGATGGATGTGATGGCCCTTGGAAAGGAAGTGGTAGAGAACAGATGAAAGAAGGTGAGAAAAGAATCTGTATGTAGAGGGAGGGAGAAGCAAAATAAAACTGAAGGAGACACAAAAGAACTTGAAATTTCTTGCTATCCCAGGAGTCAAAATATTGCTTAGTTTAGTCATAATTTATCACAAAGGCAAACAGTTTACTGGGCCAGAAAAAATAAAAGACTCCAGGAAAATTTGAATTTCAAGTACCAATGTTTGGTAGAATGAAATATTTCAGACATACCTTATATCAAAATTTTTTCTTTGTTGATCTGAAATTAAACTCGATGTTCTGTATTTTTATTTGCTAAATCTGGCAGTCCTTTCCTGGAGACATTTCAATCTCGTTACTTTGGGTTGATGAGGGTAATAAGATATCACACTGAAGAGGAAATGGAGAGGATAGCACCAGCCTCCTGCTTTCTAGCAGAAAGATCCAGGTTATTTGGACTTGCTATTCCTTCCTTTGGGGGCAGCTTCTGCCGTCCCTGCTCAGCTGAGCACTGAGCACTTCAACTTAATCACTGTTTCAAACCCATCAGAAGGTCACTGAAATTGTACTTGCTGTTCTAGACTTGATGTCTTCCATGACTCAGATAAACTTGGGTCCCACAAATCTACTGAGACTCATTCTTGCCTTAATCCCCACCATGTTTGTCCTATCAATAGAACTGAGCTTTTTTCTGCCTAAATCTGAGATCCTGAACTCTAGATCATTCAGCAATGATTTTGACATTCTGCCTAGACTCTAACCATTTTTCTTTTTTAAGAGGTTGCCTTAGCCTATGCCTAGGGTGTGTCCAAACCAAACACATCACCTAGAACCACAAAGCTGACTCTGCCTCACCATTTTATAGAACAGGGATTGCCAAGCAGTTCTGTAAAGGGCCAGATAAAACTATTTGGACTTTGTAAACCTTCAGTCTCCGTCACAACTATTCAATCCTGCCATTGTAGCACGAACAGACACACGTTCCAATAAAGCCCAATTTACCATACAAAAATGCTCATGGCTGAATTTCACTGACCCCTAATTTGCCAATCCCTGTTTTTTAAAAAAGTCTGTGATCTTTTTCTTCCTGCCCAAAAGTTTCCACTTAGATATAGATGTTGACCTATTAGCTCATGGGAGCCACATCTTTTCTACTTGCCATGATGTGGACAGTTGCTCCATGCCCCATCAAGGGCCAGCCCTATTTTCCAAACTCAGTGTCCTATTCTTGGGTCTAGCAGTTCCCAGCTTTCTTCTTTCCCTCAACCAGCCTCTAAGGTCCCAGCATGTTTGGAGGAAATTCAACTTCTTTCTGCTTTTGTTTCTACAAACCAGTATCCACCCCTTTCTTTCCATAAATATTACCTTAGTTTAAGACCTAGTTGGTAATGCTTTGGACTTGTTCTGTCTCCTCTTTGGACTTTTTACTGAGGAATCTTCATCTGCCTATTACTGTTGCATAAGACAAAGAGACTACCCACGAGTGCAAGGCATTGCTTGTCTTATAGTAATTACAGAATTAGAGAAAAATCATGTCTCTTAGATGATTAAAATCCCCTGGCAGAACTGGATAAAGGCAGCCAGTGCATGACTCCAGGACTACACATGTTGTGCTTCAGTGTGAAGAAAAATCAACATTACTTATTGTATCGATGCTATTAAAAGCAATAATATAACCATAGGAAGACCTTATTATGGTATACAAATGCAAAGTAGATTTCACAAGCAACCAAATACATGTGTAAATAAATCCACTTATTCACCAGGGAAGGACTTTGGGACCTAATAAAATAATTTCAAAAATAAAGTTTTAAATTAGAAAAGATAAGAATTTTGAAATAACTCTTTTCAAGCAATGTTGTTGGATTCTGACTGATGTTCTGGGTCAGTTTGACCACCTTGTTCTACACATCCTTTTTCTTTGTGGGATATCTATTTCTCTCAAAGGTTGCGTGCAATTGAAGGCTTCGTAAGTCAAATCCTATTTTAAATAGACATATCTCACTCTTTAATTTTGGAGTCTTCCTTTCCTCATTAAAAAAATTGTTTTCTATTTCTTATTTTTTTATTGTAACAAATTTCCAATAACCATTATGCCCTTAAATTGAAACTCCATACATTTAACTAGGAAGAATGCTTTTTGAATTATCTGAACTCCTTCAAACCAGTCAACTATCATTTAATTTTGTTAGAAGGGATATATACACTTGCTACTGATCTAAAATCAAGTTGGGTTGAGATGGCATCTTTGAAGAGCCCCTTGAAACATTTTAGGACTCTGACCACATGAGGTCAACTATGGGGAAACCTAAGAAAGGCACCCAGGGTTCTAAAGTCTCTAAGGTCTCTGTAAAATATGATTATGCACCTCCCATCTACCAGGCAGAATTTTAGTTGTAAGTTATCAAAGAGTAGAAAATGATCCCTGTCCAGGTTACCATAGATGAATGGTGGCTTTGGGTTCTATGTAGAGTAACTGAGAAGTCAGAGGGCTCCATTCTCTAAGTCCAGGAAAGCAACCACATAAGAAGAGAAAGTGTCAACCCACCTTGCTTCCTATAGACCTCCATAACATCATCTCTCTTGAGGAGACGACATGATGCATAATTCATCCAAACAAGTGCCCAATGATGAGTTTTAGACCATTCTCTCAGGATTTTTCTCTATCACAAAGACCTCCCTATATATTACATAAGATCATGAAAAGGGGTGAGCAAATAAAGAATAGCTGTGAGGTGGACCACCAATCGTGTGTGTTGCTGGGGCAATTGGGTTGGTCCTCTCATAGATGCAAAGTCACATTACATTAAAGGCATTCTAAAGATGTGAACCGCCGAAACCGGTTTGGCTCAGTGGATAGAGCATCGGCCTGTGGACTGAAAGGTCCCAGGTTCGATTCCGATCAAGGGCATGTACATTGGTTGTGGGCACGTCCCCAGTGAGGGGTGTGCAGGAGGCAGCTGGTCGATGTTTCTCTCTCATCAACATTTCTGGCTCTCTATCCCTCTCCCTTCCTCTCTGTTAAAAAAAAAAAAAAAAAAAAAAAAGATATGAACTACTGTCATGAGATCACTGATATTACTGAGGTTCTAGTTCAGGGTCAAGAGATTCCATTTTTAAATCTTGTTGTGACTCTCCAAAGAACATTTCCTAGTTACATATAAAAGCAAGTCATTATGATTTCAGCTTACGTTTATTTCTATGTTTGGCACGCAGTTCATCAAACCTCACCCTCTGAGCTCACAGCCCACAGATATCTCATAGCACTTACTAAAATGTGTAATGATTTGATATGTTTATTACTTTGCCTCTCCCATCACTTTCTCATCACTTTTACTGTCTCATCTGTCTTCTTCTTTTCCTTCTTCTTCTTCTTCTTCTTCTTCTTCTTCTTCTTCTTCTTCTTCTTTTCCTTCTTCTTCTTCTTCTTCTATGGAAGCACATAGCACATGTTTGGGTCATAGTAGTCACATACACAAAAAAAGATACTGAGTTATTGAATAAGTAAGTTAGAGAATGAAAAGCTTGGATGGGTAAAGTATGAGTGAGATTTTGAGATCAGAAAAGGCACCTAGTTCTATCAATATCTTCATCAAATTTTGTTGAGCCCAAAGACTGTTTTTACTGCTTATCTATTACCCAGTGGGGAACACCATGGAGAGGTGGCCAAGAAAGGCATCTTTCCATTGACCTCCATCAGTGTTTGCACGGGGAGTTTGGCTACATCAAAAGAGCTGCTCTCTTGCCAGCTACAAGAAACAGGGAGTGAATTGTCATTCATATTTGTGTTCTAGGACTCTGGCTGAAAACAAAAGAGAGTTCTCTCTTTCTACCCCTTCAGGGATCTTCAAGGATCTCAAACTCACCAATTTTATTGATTTTTTTTTTTTTTTTTTTTTTTTACAGAGAGGAAGGGAGAGGGATAGAGAGCTAGAAACATCAGTGAGAGAGAAACATTGTTCAGCTGCCTCCTGCACACTCCCTAATGGGAATGTGCTCACAACCAAGGTACATGCCCTTGACCTGAATCGAACCTGGGACCTTTCAGTCTGCAGGCTGACACTGAGCCAAACTGGTTTCAGTAAACTCCCCAATTTTTATTGCTGTGTGCTGAGTTCCTAAAACTGACTCAGAAGGGGTCCCATCCTGAAGCAGGTGGTCACCAGTTGCATAAATACAGCCCCCAGTTTCAGGTTGTGGGCTCCTTGGATTACTTTCCCTCTCGGGCAGGAAAGCAGAGAAGAGTCTCTGGTGAATGGGAGAAACATGGAGAGGGGGAGGTCTTCAGACAGGCCCCAGCTAAAGACTTTGAAGACCATGGAATTGCTATGTCTGTCCACTGCTCCTTTATCACAAAGGAGAAGAGAGCCGGGGAAAAAGGGTCAAGCTGAGAGTGGGAGGGAGTAGGTAGGGAAACCAAGTTAGAATCATTCAAAAGAATGCTGTAAGGTAGGAAAATTATGGCATATCTGGAACGTTTAGGTCAATAAACATTTCTGCTGCTATTATTCTGCTATTATTTCTCCAACATCACTCTTCTCCAGGGGTGCTTTCCTTGGCTGCTACTCCCCGGACAAGTTCTAGGGAGCCTAAGTGGTAACAGTAAAGTGAGGAAGGGAGAAAACTGAGAGGCATTTCAAGAACTTCTTCCTCAACATGCTTCTTCATTTCCCTTATAATCCAGTTTTAGATTGAAAAACTGTGGAAAGAGATTCTTACTGCAAATGTCCACAGTCCCATTGGCCATGTCTTCTCTATGCACAAACCTTAAAATTCTGTAGGGTTTTTATAAGCTTCCTAGCAGGGCGCCTGCTCAGCTGATGATTCATTATAAAGAGAATTTTGGAAACGTTTAGGATTTTTAGTCAATGGGTAAGGCATGTAGGACCATTTCCTTAGAGGACACCTTTCTCCAGCCCTTAGTCTGTGACTTAGTGTCAAATGGTGCTCTGCCTGCCTCGGGACAAAGAACTCTTCTGGGAGAACAGAA